CTCCTAAAACTCCTAAACCCTAAAACCTCCTAAAACCCTAAACCCTAAACCCTAAACCCTAAACCCTAAACCCTAAACCCTAAACCCTAAACCCTAAACCCTAAACCCTAAACCCGACAGGGACGAGAGATGGTTGGCATCTCCCCCGACAGGGACGAGAACAGCTTTCGAGCTTCCCCTGTTACACATTAAGGCGACCCACTTCGGTGGATCTTCCCAATTTTTTGACGCCGCCCAAATGGCAGCGGCCGCGGCCGCGGCGACTTCGCCTCTCCGGCGGGTGGTGGAGCTCGACGAGGCCTGGTCTCTGCGGATACACGAGGCCTGCCAGGTAGTCCCCCGGCGACTCCTCAAGGCGCTGGAGATATCTGGAGATGGCCGGATCTGGATCCCCATCCCCATCGCCCTCCTCCTCGCTTCCCCGTCCCCGGAGCTCTACTGCGTCGCCATGGGCCTCCTCGCAGGTTTCTTGCTCGATCTCCTCTTCGTCGGCCTTCTCAAGCACCTCGTCCGCCGATCCCGACCCCTGTACAACAAGGGGATGTACCTTACATTCGCCGTCGATCACTGGTCTTTCCCCAGCGGCCACTCCTCCCGGGTATTCTTCATCTCCACCTTCCTGTACCTAGTCCGCGGCTCTCTCCGGGAAGCCGCCGCCGGTGTAGTGGGACCTTCTCCATGGCCGCGGTGGCGGACTGTCCTCGAGGATCGTGGTCTCGAGCTAGGTCATCTCTTTCTGCCGTCGGTCTTCCTTTGGTCGGTTGCGACGTCGGCCTCTAGGATCCTGCTCGGTAGACACTTCGTCGTCGACGTGATCGCCGGGGGATGTCTAGGTCTACTCGAAGCGGCGGTCGTGTTCCTCTTCTTGCTGCATCCGACATTTTTCACCAAGTTCTTGCTGGATCGATGAGGTTTTATCTCTACCTCGAAGATTGGTTCACCGAATTCGTCTTTCCTTCGTCCGTTATCGAACACCTACCATGATCTCTGCAACCCTCGACAGAATTTTCATCAAATGTACGTTCCACGGAATTCGAACAGCAGGAGATTTCTTGATCTTGGGATGAAATCGAACTGTTCTGATTCTCGGTGCATCAATCAGATGCCAATCTATGGAGTCTGGAGAAACGAATCCCTGGATTGCTGGTAATGTTTACCGGGCACTGATGGAAAACTATAGAACTTCTGTGTATTGGCAACATCAGAGGTTTTCATAAAGATGAGTATCAGATCAGCCGATGAAAGCCATGGCATCGAGGAATGGATGTAATTGCTCCCTCCCTCATGAAATCGCCTTCTGTTTTATTATTTTGAGAACAAATGGGGATCGAAATCTGCTTAAAAATAATGCCTTGGAATTGATTGAACTTGTTCTTCTGCTGTTTTTCAATCGGTTGATGGAGGAGGAAACAACGCATTGTTGTCTTATTTCGTTAGAAGGTGACGTTTTCTGCAAAAAAAAAAAAAAAAAAATTAAACCCTAAACCCTAAACCCTAAACCCTAAACCCTAAACCCTAAACCCTAAACCCTAAACCCTAAACCCTAAACCCTAAACCCTAAACCCTAAACCCTAAACCCTAAACCCTAAACCCTAAACCCTAAACCCTAAACCCTAAACCCTAAACCCTAAACCCTAAACCCTAAACCCTAAACCCTAAACCCTAAACCCTAAACCCTAAACCCTAAACCCTAAACCCTAAACCCGACAGGGACGAGAGATGGTTGGCATCTCCCCCGACAGGGACGAGAACAGCTTTCGAGCTTCCCCTGTTACACATTAAGGCGACCCACTTCGGTGGATCTTCCCAATTTTTTGACGCCGCCCAAATGGCAGCGGCCGCGGCCGCGGCGACTTCGCCTCTCCGGCGGGTGGTGGAGCTCGACGAGGCCTGGTCTCTGCGGATACACGAGGCCTGCCAGGTAGTCCCCCGGCGACTCCTCAAGGCGCTGGAGATATCTGGAGATGGCCGGATCTGGATCCCCATCCCCATCGCCCTCCTCCTCGCTTCCCCGTCCCCGGAGCTCTACTGCGTCGCCATGGGCCTCCTCGCAGGTTTCTTGCTCGATCTCCTCTTCGTCGGCCTTCTCAAGCACCTCGTCCGCCGATCCCGACCCCTGTACAACAAGGGGATGTACCTTACATTCGCCGTCGATCACTGGTCTTTCCCCAGCGGCCACTCCTCCCGGGTATTCTTCATCTCCACCTTCCTGTACCTAGTCCGCGGCTCTCTCCGGGAAGCCGCCGCCGGTGTAGTGGGACCTTCTCCATGGCCGCGGTGGCGGACTGTCCTCGAGGATCGTGGTCTCGAGCTAGGTCATCTCTTTCTGCCGTCGGTCTTCCTTTGGTCGGTTGTGACGTCGGCCTCTAGGATCCTGCTCGGTAGACACTTCGTCGTCGACGTGATCGCCGGGGGATGTCTAGGTCTACTCGAAGCGGCGGTCGTGTTCCTCTTCTTGCTGCATCCGACATTTTTCACCAAGTTCTTGCTGGATCGATGAGGTTTTATCTCTACCTCGAAGATTGGTTCACCGAATTCGTCTTTCCTTCGTCCGTTATCGAACACCTACCATGATCTCTGCAACCCTCGACAGAATTTTCATCAAATGTACGTTCCACGGAATTCGAACAGCAGGAGATTTCTTGATCTTGGGATGAAATCGAACTGTTCTGATTCTCGGTGCATCAATCAGATGCCAATCTATGGAGTCTGGAGAAACGAATCCCTGGATTGCTGGTAATGTTTACCGGGCACTGATGGAAAACTATAGAACTTCTGTGTATTGGCAACATCAGAGGTTTTCATAAAGATGAGTATCAGATCAGCCGATGAAAGCCATGGCATCGAGGAATGGATGTAATTGCTCCCTCCCTCATGAAATCGCCTTCTGTTTTATTATTTTGAGAACAAATGGGGATCGAAATCTGCTTAAAAATAATGCCTTGGAATTGATTGAACTTGTTCTTCTGCTGTTTTTCAATCGGTTGATGGAGGAGGAAACAACGCATTGTTGTCTTATTTCGTTAGAAGGTGACGTTTTCTGCAAAAAAAAAAAAAAAAAAATTTTAAACCCTAAACCCTAAACCCTAAACCCTAAACCCTAAACCCTAAACCCTAAACCCTAAACCCTAAACCCTAAACCCTAAACCCTAAACCCTAAACCCTAAACCCTAAACCCTAAACCCTAAACCCTAAACCCTAAACCCTAAACCCTAAACCCTAAACCCTAAACCCTAAACCCAAAACCCTAAACCCTAAACCCTAAACCCTAAACCCTAAACCCTAAACCCTAAACCCTAAACCCTAAACCCTAAACCCTAAACCCTAAACCCTAAACCCTAAACCCTAAACCCTAAACCCTAAACCCTAAACCCTAAACCCTAAACCCTAAACCCTAAACCCTAAACCCTAAACCCTAAACCCTAAACCCTAAACCCTAAACCCAACCCCCCTAAGTGGGAGAGTTGCCACCGGATCCCATAAGAACTCCGGAGTTAAGCGTGCTTGGGTGGGAGCCATCACCGGATGGGTGACCTCCCTGGGAAGTCCCAAGGTACGTGTGCATGCGTTGCGAGACGCTTGCTGTGCATGTGCTGAAAGGCACCGCTGCATTATCGTGCCGCCAGGCACGTGTTACGAACCCCTCCAACACCATGCCAAGATGCTTCAAGTTTCGAAGAACGTGCCGAGAGGCACCCCTGCCACCATGCCGAGAGGCATATGTGGCAACCATCTCACCATGCCAAGATGCCCCCAGCTCCGAAGAACGTGCCGAGAGGCACCCCTGCCACCATGCCGAGAGGCATATGTGGCATCCATCTCATCATGCCAAGACGCCCCAGCTCCAAAGAACGTGCCGATGCCACCATGCCGAGAGGCATATGTGGCATCTATCTCTAAAGAATGTGCCTGAGAGGCACCAAAGTGCTTGGGCATGTGAAGTACCGGGATGGGTGACCTCCCGAGAAGTTCGGCCCAACTTCTCTTCTTACCGACCGCATTTGCTCAACTTTTTTCTCTCTCCTCGCGAGAGCTTCTCTCTCCTCACGATCAGCGCAAATGGTGAGATCTCCTTCGTGTGACCTCAGATCGCGCTGAAACCTTTTCCATTCGATTCGGAAGGCCGACAGCTATCGGTTTCGAGCTTTTACGCATCGAAAACGGTGGATTAAAGCCTTTGTTTCGCAATTTCCTCATCGCGAAGGTAAACTACCGGAGTTTTCACTCCAAAGGTAATATCTTTCTATTGACTGGGTGAAATTTCATTATTTTTAGTTCAATAGAATCGTATTTGCCTCGTTTACCATTCTCTCTTCTATATCATTTTTATTTGATGCTTAGATGATGAGTAGTTCACAGATTTCATCGGGTGACCTCCGTCGCCCAGATGAAAAATCGCCCGACGAATGCGAGCGAACAGGAGGCCGACACGTGGCAGTAACGGCCTCCTGTCTTCGCCTTCTCTCGCCGCCGGTTGATGTAACCGAGGAGACGGCCGTAACCGAGGAGCTGAACGGTCGAACCACGGACGTCCGTGATTCGCCATCAGCTGGCGTCTTCCCGAGACCCGAATCGGAGGGGACAGCAGTTGACGCCGTCCACTCTCTCTTCGGGAACGAGGCGACGGCAGGCGAAGAGGCCCCCTCTGATCCAACCATTGATCGTATGATCAATGGTCAGAATCAGCCGGCTATAAAGGCGTCAACAGCCGTTACCGAGGCACCGCCCTCGGACGGCCACGGCCATAACGCCGAACCAGATCCAACCGTTGATCTTGAGATCAACGGAGGGGATCACGTGGCCATAAAGGCGCCGCAACTTTTTGCGATCGCCGATGCCTCGGCTGGGACGCTGGTGACGTCATCAACGTCAGACACGGTGGACGTAGCGCCACCTGAGGTCGTTTTAGCCCAGGTCATGCCGGCCCAGCCCAGCGAGGCTGCGCTGGCTCAGGACGTACAGGCACAGGCCCAGGTGGCCCAGGCCCAGGCCCAGGTGGCCCAGGCCCAAGCCCAGGTGACCCAGGCCAAGCCTGAACAGCCGGCTCAGGCTGCACCGGTCCAATCTCTTGCCCAGGCAAGGGGCAAGAGCCTGCGGCCCAAAAAGAAGATAGGACGCCGACTTTTACGTCCCCCCTCGGCTACATCCTCTAAGCCTACCTCGAGTCAACAAATCGAACCAACTAGGATCCCAACACTAGTTGAGACACCTATATTGACCCCAAACGCATCCATTGGGCACACTATTACACCTAGTGGGCTAGACTCTACTGTGCCCCATAGGCCAAACCCGACTATACCCACTAGACACCTATCATGGGCGCAACGAGTGTCTAACCCCTTTGTCCCCTCCACAGAGACTGTCACACCACAGGAACCGCTACGTCATGTACTATTCCCAACCTATGATACCACTGTCCCAGTGCGAAGCTATAGCGATGATGATGGGAGGAGAACAATAGCTTTTACTTATGAGGAGGTCTCCCAGATGGCAGCCGCATTCCAATATACCTTAGTTGGTCGTTTCACTACGAAACGACCAACCATAGGTGACATAGAGAAGATTTACATGGCACCTGGAAATTTTCAGGGCCGAGTCTCCATCGGAGCTCGAGATTATCGTAGCATATACATCCGCTTTGAGCTAGAAGCGGATTATCGCCGAGCATGGAGCCGACCCACTTGGAGAATGGGGGAGTCTACCCTCCATACCCACAGATGGACACCACAAAATGACATAGGACACCAAGCACATCAGTCTCATGTGGTTCCATTATGGGTGGGCTTCCCTGGCCTACCTGCCCATTTATTTACGCCAAAGGCACTTGAGTCTTTGGCAAATGCGGTGGGAACATTCATATGCCTTGATCCAGGCGTAAAAATGTTCAACCGACCCGGATATGCACGAGTTTGTATAGAGGTGGACCTAATGGCTCCCCTCCAGAGGACTCTCGTTATACGTAGTGGAGATGATGAACTTTATCAGCCCATCATTTATGAGAGACTACCGTATTTCTGCACACACTGTGCGATCTTGGGCCACACTGTCAGCACATGCCGTCAGAAGGCATGTACACCACAGACGACCACACGAGCCTTTCTAGTACCGATCTCATATGACGATTACCTCGTCGAAATGAGAAAGGATGCTCAGAGTGCTCGTCATCCTCAGAGGTCGATTGCCCCTATGGCGGCTCCACCTTCCTTACCTCGGAAGGCACAGGAGAAGCCTAGCTCACTGATTGAGACACAGCATACACGGCGAAAGCCGGCAGCTGGACGCCCTTCTTCCACCTACACAGGGGGGAAGAAAGGAACACGAGAGGCTACACCTTCCCCTTTGAGCAAGGGAAAGCAACCCCTAACCTCAAACACCTTCGAGGTCTTAGGGGCTTTAGATGAGAGAGACTTTGAGGGACCTGCACAAAGGGGAACTAGGCCTTCCAAAGGGCTAGCATCCTCCACTACGAGGGACTCACCTAGTCCAACCCCCCATACTAGATCCCCCCGGGTTATCCGACCCCCCATACTCACCCACCCCACTCCACCCATTAGTGTCTCTCCACCACCCAGCTCCTCCCCGCCCATTCACTCGTCCCCACGTAGAAGGAGTCCTTCACCTCTTAGTCCCCACCGACCGAGGTCTACCCCTTTCTCTGAGGGTATAGGCTTGGGCCCTATCCATCCGCCTCAAATCCCCGTTGATGATCTATTAGGAGGGTCTACCCCCAGCATACTTCCTATTAGTACATCTTACATAGCCCCCCATTCTGATTCTTATACCCTCCCCCCCTCTCCCCTATTACAACCGTCAGATCAGTTTCCTATACTTGATCCACCACCCGCTGATTCTAGGGAGAGCCCCGATAGAGGACAGTGCTTAACGAATCGTCAAGCACCACACCCATCCTCCTCATCTAGTGCTCATGATACTACGGGCCACACGACTAGTACCCATGAGGATGGTAGCTCTGAGACTGACATTGAGACTACCTACCTAGAGGAGGGATATCAGACGGAGGTTAGGACCACACGACTCACTAGACGCTCACCTTACTCCACGAGATCTAGGACTCGTGGGGCCACTCACTAGATCATGATACCTAGCATCATATGGAATTGTCGAGGTATAGGCAACCTCGAAACCCAATTCTATATAGCTAGCCTTATCAGACAGTATCGACTAGGTATAGTAGGCCTCATTGAGCCTATGATATCATCAGATCGTATCCAACCCTTACTTAGGAGGTTAGGTATGGATCATTTTCACTCCAACCCCACGAATCATATTTGGATCTTTTGGACTAGACCATACTCTATGGAGTTGCTAGTCGAGGGACCCCAGCATATCACTATGACGGCTCGAGATCTCACCCAAGAGTTCACCTTCTCGGTCATCTATGCATCACATAGATCCGAAGAAAGAGAAACTCTTTGGGCGGACCTAGCTCAATACGTGAGGGACTATCCTACACTAGTTGAGTCTCCTTGGTACCTAGCA